CATGTACCTGCACTGATGGTGTACAGACGCTAGTTGTACAGAACAGGCTTCTAGGCTGCTTCTCTTTTTCCACGGCTGCTTCTAGGAAGCTTTGCAAAGCTATAGGTAAGGTAGTGAGGTTTGAGGAGGACTGCTGTGATTCAGGCAGCTCTCTCAATGCAGTCAGTAAGGTTCTGCTGCAGGCAGCCCGCGCCTTGCGAACTCATGCTTCATTTTCTCAGTGTAATGGAGCCGCTCAGGAGGATGACCTTTGTGAGGCGCTTCCAGTCGTTGCATCCATTGTGCATCGCACTTTCGAGGCAAGGGCAATGGCCTTGAACTATGGCCCTGGCAAAACAGAGGCGCTTCTGAGGTTGTCTGGCCCGAACTCGGCTAAGCTTCGCAAGCAGGTCTTGGGCCGAGAGAGGAAGGTGCCATTCGCTGGCTCTCAGGGCGATACTCACGAGCTCCGACTATGCCAGCGCTACGTTCATCTCGGCACTGTTATCTCTGAACGCAGCGGCCCCATGCACGACTTTAGGGCAAAAGTGGCAAGGGCGAAGCAGGCAGTGTACCCTCTTGCTCCTAAGGTTCTGCGTGAGCACGGAATAGCTTGGCAGGCCAGAAGGCACGTTCTAGAGGCTCTTGGCATAAGCGCTGCTCTCCACAATACTGGAATTTGGCACATTTCCACGGCTGAGGAAGCCCGCTTATGGGAGCACGGGATTGTTGACCTCTATCGCCTGACCCTGCAGGCTGATGGTCATACTGGCCATCCGGCATATCCCTGCACATTTTCTGCAAGCGGGGCTGCTGGAATGCCGTCTCCGGCAATGCTGCTTGTGAAGCAGCGCGTTCTGCACGCCTGCAGAATTGCGGAGCAACAGCGTGAGCTGCTCTGGACATACCTGGCGGGGATTGATGAGCTGTCTGCCGACAGCTGGCTTCAACGACTGTGGGCGGACATTGCCACCGTAGAAGCCTTTACCGCCCCCTTCAGCACACCGGTCCCTTTGCGGAGGGAAGGGCCGGATGCCGATGCCCTCTATGTCTGGCTCACTGAAAACTGTGGGGTTCTTCGCAAGCGCGTCAGAACCGCTTGTGCCAAGCAAGCTGAGGGCCTTTGGCAGTTTTCGTTGTTCCAGCTGAGGGCGAGGGAGATCGGCTTGCGTCCGCGGCTGAGTGCCGACGAGAATGGCAGTGCCGCATCTGCGATTTCGCTGGTAACAGCTATAACGCCCTGGCCGCCCACATGCGTGCAGCACATCAACACCAGTGCCCTGCACGTGCCTTTGCATCAGGGGCCCACTGTCGGATTTGTCTAGTTCAGTACTGGAACACTGCCAGACTTACCCGGCATTTGGCTCACAGCACTACGAGCTGCTTGCTTCATCTGCTGTGTGAGCCAGCTCCTGAGTCTGTGAGGCTCGTGCAGACTGAGGCTGGCAACGCGATCATCCCTGCAACACGTTTGCATGGACCACTGAGAAAGGTTGCACCGCTTGACCACGGGTGCTTGGCCTCACTCCTAAGTAGCGAGCCCCCAGAGTTTTCTCAGCTAATCCTTCCGTTGATCAGCCGTCATGCTCCTGAACTGGAGCCGCTAGCAGCTGCCAATGCTTTTGAGCAGGGGCTTACTGATTTGTCTTCCACCGGCGGGTCCATAGATTGCCCCTCGGGCGGGGAGCTTATACAGCGCTTTTTGCTGAGCTCAGCTGCTGGCTAATTCGTTTTCCCTCGCATGTTTTTGCATTTAGGGGACGTCTCTTCAGACTTGGACCGACTCTTGCTTGCTAAGCCCTAAGCCCTAAACCCTAAACCCCTGAACCCTAATGGGAGGTGTTAGGTTCCCTAGGGTCCTCTCGCACTCATCCAGATCAACAATGCTGATGTCTCGAGCTTGCTCTGCCTTTAGCCTGGGTTGCTGTTAAGGAACTTAAATTAAGTTATCATAATGGGTATATGTATAGTAAATAATAGGGTTTCCCCAATAATAGTAACTTAAATTAAGTTCCTTAACAGCAACCCAGTAGCAGGTTGGCCAAGAGCTCTGGCGCCGGGAGGTGACCTGATGTAGGGAATTTCTTTAAATAAGGGTTCCTTCTGGGGAGTTCGTTTTGTAAGGGTTTTAAGAATTTCTGGGGCTCAAAAAACTGGACCTGAAATTTTCAGACACGCTCATGTAGGGCTTTTGTTTTGTTCTCAGGTCGCTATAAACAACTCTTTAAGGCACTGTTGGGCTTGAAGGAATCATACAAGTATAGGCGCTTATTATACTTACATGCAGCAGTCTCGTCTGATGCAACTGCCCGGCTTTCAAATCCATAAGTTGGTCGTGTGCAATTTGTCTGAGGATGACACCTTTGGGCCAGGACTCTACAACTTGTAGCCAGTCGCCCTCGTGCCCGTGATCATCATCGCCCTCCAGACCAGTAGACCAGAGATGCCCCTTGGGGGGGCGCACTACCGGATCGTGGTAATAGCGCCACTCATCCTCAACATCGGCTGGCTCCTCTTGCTGCATCTGAAGCTCCCGGTGCTTTTCCAAATAGTAATCTTGCGCTCGAGAAACTAGTCGCTCCCTGTTCTCCATGTAGAAAACCTGCGCTGGAGTCAGCTCTGACTCTTCTTGGCTAGCACTGTGCGCATTTGCAGCATCAGCAGGCACAAGTTCTTCGATGGATCTCCTGACTCGTTGCCTCAGCTCCTCTTCGCTCAACTGGGCAGCCTCCTCAAAGGCCTTTTGTCGAGCCAGGCGCGCCGCCGCCACTGCCTGTTGGTGTCTGTCCTCTGGTGACGGCTGTGCTTCGTCGTTTTGCTCAGGTGCAAATTCTTGAAGGCTATCTTCTTCTGATTCCAGAAGATCCGCATCGTCCAGGAGCGCGGCGTCGATGTCCACAAATCCCCCCGGGGGCCCACCATCTGGCCCTGGGCTTGCACTGAATTCTGGCACGCTGGAGGCGTTGGGCAGCTTCCCCTTCCTGCGCAGCTCCTTCACAACATTGGCAAATGTCTGCGCTCCGCTGTGGTTCGATCGATATCCAACAGCTCCCAGAGGAAGAAGATTGAGCTTCGGTAGCCGCAGCCCTGCGGCTCGAACATGGCTGAGACATGCTGTTAACATAGGAATACTTTTAAACCCTCCTGAAGCCTCGTAGCAACTTGTTGAGACTCTCACCTTTTTGCTTGCCAGGGATGCTGTGTGGATTTTCCTAGTCTTGCCTAAGAGCGCTCATATTGAGCCTCAGCAGTCTGCAGCATGAGGAAACAGCTTAGGATAGGAGTTTGGAGGGAGCATTCTGGGGATTATATGGGGACTACTACAGAGATCCATTCTCCCTTCGCTACTATAGGCATGAGTTGGAAAATAAACAGCCCCCCTGTACCCCCAGTGTCCATGTCCTGTTGTTCTTGCCATCTTAGTCTCCATTACTGCGGTAAAATCCTCATGTATCCGTATCTATCATGCCTACATGACCGGTGTTTTCCGTGGGATTCCCCGTCATTATGGTAACAGGCCATTGCTCATCCTCTCTTGTCACGCTGCGCGGGCCGCTTGCCTTGCCCAGGCACTTGGTCTGTACAGACACAAGACCTGTCTGTACTGTCGCAGACAGAAGGCTTTGATCGCAGCATGGAAGCAGTAGGCCGTGCTCGCGAGTTGAAGGTATATACTCTTTACAAAGCAACTCGGCAATCTCATTCAGACAGCTGCCCCACCTCAACAACTGTGCTTGCATGAGCCCTTGTTTCAAGCTAGGCGCTCCTTCTGACAACAACTAAGCTGCTGACCAATCAGGCTACGGGAGCTCGCATTCCTCGTCAAATCCTCGAAGCTGGCGATGCCCTCTCTCACCTAGATTTGCTGACATTCATATCAGGATCTGTCTAAATCATGCAGTGAGATCCTGATGGTTGAGAGTTGAGCGTTGCCAAGCGCTGCAGTACCAAGGGCCAGGCCAACGACGGCGTGTTGGGAATGACATCAGCATGTGCCTTGCTGTGCTTACGTAGTCTTTCGGCTACAGCACTCTACCTAGCCCTCAAGCAACAAGGCGGCTTTATGTGGCTTCATAGGATGTGTATCTTCGTTCCCAGTCGATGGGAACAGCGGATCTAAATTGTTTGCACTGCGGTTTGCTGAAATTGAAGTAGCTACCTATCCCCAAGATAGTACAACAATTTGTTGCCCCCCCTGTTCCTTGCTCCACTGTGGGTACCGTATGTAATCTCCAGGAGCTCTGAGACATGCCAAGACAGGACCCATTTCCATCCATGTCCCTGCTGCAATTGCCAGGTCACTGGAGAAGCCTCTTGCTTCAACAGCGGTTCACGGATGCCGCCAGCAGAAATGGCATCCCCGTGCATCGGGTGGGGCTGCAGGTCTTTCCTGACGAAGGAGGTTGTTTTTCGGTCCACTTCCATAACTTCCAGAATAAATCAATATTCATACTCTGGCTAGATTGTTCTACCACCTGCGGACTGCAGAGACTGCGCGCTGCATGGCAGTTAGTTAAGATCGCCTGAAGATCTGGACGCTCAGGAAAATGGTCAGGAAGACCACCTTGGCACTTTGTAAGCTCAGTTTACTGTAATATACCATCATATATTATAATATACTAAGGAGCAGTATAGCATACTATACTATAAGATATAGTATACTATAGTTACAATATATCTTATCTTTAGGCTTGACTTTGGCTGCAGCCAAAAATCCATCTGGCAGCCGTACAGTAGCCAGGTGCGCGGGACAGAACCCTGCGCAAAAGAGCAATGCTTGTTCAGTAGACATGCCCAATCTAACCTAGACCTCTGATCTTTCTTCGATACGATTGTTACAAGCTTCAACTACGGGAGCTTCCCAATGCAGACCACCCTCAAGAACGACAGCTGCGAAGGCAAATCATACCACCTGAATTTTGGAGGCCCGTCAGAGTTTTGGCTGTGGGCAGCAGCCCCTTTGTCACAGATGCCCCCGCCCCTAGCACAGTGCACACAGCTGTCGCGGCCTGTGCTGAAGAGATGAAGTCTGTTAGTCATAAAAGGCTTGTCACGCAGGGTCTGTTGCAACCCCTATATAATCCCAGCTTCCATTTCATTTTCCATTTTCTTTTCCATTTGATTTTCCATTATAGGGCCCTAAACCCTATATTATTGGGTACCATAGTATCCCCCAAAGAAAATTATAGTAGTTTCCATTTTCTTTTCCATTCTAACCCCAATATAACCCTTACATAGTATCCCCAAATAAAACACTCTTATTATAAACCCTAGGCCGCGGGAGGGCTAAACCAAAGGCCTGTTGCAAGGTTACTGTGTTCGGACAGCTTACATATGAGCTATAGCCTAAACTCCTTAAAGGGGGGGTTATATAGGGGATTATATAGGGAACTACTATAGGGGATATTAAGGGGGATACTAGGAGTTTAGACTATAGCTCATATGGAAAGCGAGGGGGGACATGCCGTTTTTCAATCACACCCCGCCTTTTTTTCGCACAGGCCCAGGAATATTCTGTGATGTTCTGTGTGTACTTCATGCCGAGGGCATGCAACCATCTTCAGAAGCAAGATGGATCATGATTGTACTGATTCCTCATTGTTGTTCTTGTAAATACCATTCCATCATTGCTGTTGCTGCTTCTCGCCGTTGCCGCCGTAGGGATTACATCCTGACTGAAGTTGACGTCCAGGCCGTTGCGACCAATGATTAAAAGCTAAGGAGCGTAGATGCACAGACCGTTTCATGCTAGCTGCCAGACTTAGACTTGGGCTCTAGAAGGCTTCTCGGCCCGACCTTCTAGATCGTGGGCTCATTTTCACGAGCATTGCCTGTGAGAGGCGAACAGACCTGGACTGTTGCTCGGGGACGCGTCCTGCCCTGCATGCAAGTATGGAACCTACGCATCCTTGATGCGCGCACGGGCAAATCTGCACTGTGGCCGCATCTCTATTGGAACAAGAAGATGACGGAGACCCACGTGCGATCGCAGGATGTAAGGGGATTGAATCGACGGCGGCAAACCATGGATCCAGACGGATCCAGAAGAAGATGAGGAAACGCGAGAAGAAGATGCAGCATGGCGCCCGGCAGCCACGAGGCAAAGCGCCAAGGCAAGTTCTCGACCCAAGCTGCACTCGGCCGTGATCGGCTGCAACCCGACGCCCAGCTCTTGCAGTTTGTCTACGACCTCTGGCTCTTCACCACCATCGGCAGCAGCAAACATATCATTAGCTCATGGCTTTGCCATCATGGACGTGCTGGTCACAGGCAGCCTCACATGCTTCCAGTGGGGTGGAGAAAGCCATTCGGCAACATGCCGGCACACCAGCATTCCCACAGGTGAGGCAAGGTGGATCAAACGAGCACGGCGAGGCCCCGGTTGAAGAAGGGGATGGCCTTGAGATGGCTGCAGGGGAGCGGAGCAGATGCAAGTGGCCATGCGGGTGAATGGACCAGACCGTGACGCCACAAAGCCCTGCGGGGGGACCAGACCGTGCCGCACAAAACCCTGTATATTCACCTCAACACGCGCGGGACGCCACAAAGCCCTGTGGGTGGACCAGGCGTGTTACATTAGCTGGCGTAGCTGCACATGACAGTCTTCACTAAAGTGCGGTATGAGCAGTCTTGGTCTTGATCGCCCAACCGTACCATTTTCTCAAATGTGAATTTGTTCTGCATTGATAAATCCTTAGCTTGTGTCCTACCCATGCAATTTGATGAGCAAACCTTCACCTGAACCCTAAACACTTGACCGTGCCCCTCCAGCACCGCAACTCACAAAGCGTACCTGATAGACAAAGGCAAACTCTGCTGTTCGCGAAGGTGCCGGGATCTGTAGAAGCTCCTGGAAGCTGAACACCGGTGTCTACGTATGAGGGCCAACCTTCTTGTGATTCTTATGTCATGAACACTATGAAGCAGTTGTTCTGACTACTGACCCATTGTTCTAGCTACTTACCCTTAACGTTAAAAAATGTTGTTCTTGCAGGATGAGACCGGGGTATTGAAGCAAGCCCCGACCAAGGCTTAAGAGGCTCTGCCTATCCCGTCAAGCTATCTTCTGTTCTGAAGTGGATCCATAGAAGTGGAGTGTGGTTGCACTTAACAACTTGTATATGGATTGGGGGCCAAATCTTACTTCATCACAGAAGGGCTATCAGCGAACGTTGTTGACAGTGTTTTAGGCTTCTACATTCTCAAAGGCAGCTGTGAATCCTCGCTTGCTGCTGTCGAGGCTCCACAAACAGAAACGGCCCCACGATGCGGGGCACTGCACCGATTGCAAACAGCAGGCCCATGTAGGCCTGATGTCAGCACATCACACGGGAATGCCGAAATAAGGGAGCCCCAAGTGTAAAGCCCAATTCCACGTCGTTCCCAAAAAGAGACCTTCAATCTTGGAACCCCGCATTTGGCTTGAATTCATCTGACGAACCAATCGTGGGAACCTCTTGCTTCATGCGGATACTTCACAGATGATGAGGTCCCTTCTATACACATATATATCATATATATATATACATGTGTATATATATATGTAAATATAGCACACCTTCAATGAAAAATGGTCCTCAACGCAGGGATCCCCAGATAACAGATAATCGGGTTTCATTTGCTCAAAATCCCAGATGTCTAAGCAGCGCGCCGCTTTGGGATGAGGGCCAATGATCTGCGTCATCAACGACACCCCCGGCCCTCGGGCAAGGCCTCCAAAAAAGGCCTCGAGCCATGTGGGGAAAAGCCAGCAGGTTGTCAGTACGAAGTGCGGTCACTTTTATGAGCTGTAGTCTAAACTCCTAGATTCCCCTTATTAACTGGCTAATAGAGCCCTATATAACTCCCTATATAACCTGCTTTAAGGAGATTAGGCTGTAGCTCATATTGCTATTGGCCTTTTGAGCTAACTCATGAATGGCTTGAGCTCCCCACTCCTAGCAGGTAGTCTACGACGAATCGGCTAGCAGGTAGTCTTCCACCAAAGTCCATGTTGTCCAGGTTCACCAGCACCTGAGTTTAGGAGAGGTTGTTGGCCATGAGCCCATCTGTGGTCAACATTGGAAGGGATGGTAAGCTTGGTGAGATTGCCCAACGGCTATGAGTCTTATCAATATGGGTCGACAGTCAAGATTACAGTTTTGGGGGTCTAGAATGGGGTCCCCAGTTAAGGGCAATTACCATAATTGCAATATGGGATTTGCCAGTATCATTGTGATCATTGTGGCTATTACGGGTTCCATTGGCATCGCTCATCCTTCGTACTTAGCACACGCATCCAGCACGCACTAGCATGCCGAAGACATCTGGCGTAACACCTTCACATTTCTACCGAGGGACTGACACTGCGTGACTCAAGCTGATGGCAACAACTTCCCGACGGAAGATGTAGGGACCCAGGCAGAACGACATCAAAGCAGCCATGGCCTCCGATCAAGCAGATGGCGGTTTCCCAAAATTAAGGCTACCATTTTGGGGGTCCCCATATTTTGGGAAACTACCAGATAAAGCCATAAACCGATAAAACAGTTCCAAACCATTATTCTACATAGTTTGGGGTTCCAGGTAGGCGGCAAGCAGGCTCCCGCAAGTTTGTGATGAGGATGCAGCATCTGCAGTCTGATGGCTGAATATCCTAGGTGCTCCCCCCACCTGTAGTGACCGCCAGGGATGATGGTTGTTAAACGACGTATATACCACCAGCTAGGAGGTTTGGGGCCCCTTAAACCCAAGTTTCTCATGGTCCTATGACTATGGGAGGATTACGGGTAACAAGCATTAAGCCGTATTTTCCAACCTACCCAGGATAAATGGGATTTCCAAAAATTAGAGATACCTTTTGGGGGTCCCCATATAATTAAGCATTATAGTACATTGGGGTCTGTCTCGGGATCCCCTATTTACGGAAACTACCAAACCCTAAACCCTAAACCCGAAACCCTAAATCCCAAATGATCTCAGGGGCCAAGCTCAGGACGCCGCCGCTGCTTAGCAACAGGTTGACGTAGACCTGACTGGCCTGCACCAATGGGAGAGCTTCCGAAAGGTAGGTAATGTTAGGGATTAGGGTTTAGGGTTTAGGGGTAATGGAGGGTAATTTAGGGTTATATAGGGTTAATAATGGAAAAGGGATTGGGAACTTCTATAGCATGTTAACCCACAAAATTTCCCCCTTTTTGGGTTGCTGTTAAGGAACTTAACTTAAGATACCATATTCTGGATATGTGGTAGATACTAGGGTTTCCTTATAGTTGTAATTTAATCAAGTTCCTTAACAGCGACCCAGTTTTGGGGGAGGGGTCACTGTTTCTAAATATCCCCATGTGCCAACCCAAGCTTGCCTCACCGGGCGCGATTTTCTGGAATCCCCTTCTTCTCATGGTTTAGGGTTTCTAGGATTTAGGGTTTAGGGATAGTGGGGGGGAGCTCGGGAAACCCAGGCAGGAATGTGTGCGGATAAGAAGATTTTTGGATTATTGATATGTCAAGGGCTATAGACGGAAAGTGTTGAGAAATACCCGAAAGAGCCTGTGACATCTTTCGGAGGGACACCTATATCATGGGTTCCCCTGCTACCCCGTTCTATACTAGCCCCCGAGGTTCCTCCTTAATCAACCTTAATTAAGCCTGATTACCCCTAAATAACCTTAACTTAGGGGAAACCCAGGGGGGGTAGTATAGAGGGGGGTAGTAGGGGAACCCACGACTATATCATGATTCCCTCCTGTTGCCCCTATGTATCCCCGCGAGACTCACCTTGGCAAAGCCAAAACCCCTCAAAAGAAAATCCTTAGACCCCAAATCCCCAAATCCTCAAAGCCTAAATCCCCGGGACCCTAGAACCCCAAATGCTGAAATCCTGAGTCTCGTAAGCCCCAAACCCCCTTTCACCCCCCATCCCCTGGGGTGCTGGATTCCAGGCCTCAAACGGGCATTCAGTTGGGTTGAGGCATGGACCCCAACCATACAGCCTGCAAAAAAAGGACAAGGTTTTAGGGTGGTTTGTTTGAAGGATGTACGGTTTAGGGGTTGGACTTGGGGGTCCAGGAAAACTATGTCATGACCGAATTAGGGGTGAGGGATGGGTTTAGACATAATCCCAATGTATACACCAGTATAAGATAATTGTTTTCATCTCCTTTTCTATTGTTTAGAAAGGGGGTTAGGGTTCAGGCCTACAAGGTCCATCTCAGAGTTTAGGGTTCGGGGTTGAGGGGTCTGTGATAGGATTGGGGGAGGTATCGCAGAAGCCCTTATTCATCGAATTGCCAAACCCTAAACTTCCCTAAACCCACATATGGCAAAGCAAGACTGCCTCTGCGCGAGTATAGGCGTCACCGTCTCCAAACTTGCCATGTTGAGGTTCACGCCAAAGAAAATCATGTAGCAAACCTCAGTTCCAATCCGTCTTTCTCCCTTGAGGATTACAGAACGTCACGCCTCCGCTACCTCCCCGCAATGCTATCATAAGCTCCTCATTGCTAACAATCTGGCAAATTCCTCAATACCTTGTAAAGGCACGAGACTCGCTTAAACAAAACACTTTTGGGTCTTTCTCAACATCAAGGTCCCACCATCTTGCTGGCGATAGGGAATGAAGAATGAAAAAATGGAAGATGCTAGCTTGTCATACAGGGGGTACTGCAGTGCTCATTCCTTCAACTCCTACTAACCACCAAAACCCCATACCCTACGCCCATTTCCTGTAAAGAAACCCACAAGCTGCAGGAATCTCCACTTGCGCCCCAGCATGAAACACTCCCCGTCTAGAAGCTGACGCACAATTCTGAGCAGTCTCTCCCTCAACCCGAAACCCCATATATCCGCATATCCCTAGTCTCCTAGGGTTCGCAGGTACTTCTTCCTTGAGAGGTGGTCGTTTCCAAAAATGAGGGGCCCCACTTTAGACCCCAAGGTACGATAATCCTCATTTTTTAGATCCCCAAAAGGGTACCCTTAAGTTTGGGAAACCCCCCGAATCTTCACTTGCCAGCTTGGTAGCAAGGAGTCCACGCTGGTTCGGGGGCTGGGACTTCCTGGGTTGCGGTCACGAAGAGGGTTTAGGGGTCTAGGGGTTTAGGTCTTAGGGTTCAGGGGTTTGAGGGGTTTCAAAGGAGTCATATGGAGGTTATGTAGGGGCTCTGTAGGATTTAGCGTTGATTACCACAGGGAACACGGAAATATGCAAAGAGGTTTCCTTGTGATCGAAACTTAACTTAAGTTCCTTGAAGCCCTGCAGTAGAAGACACAGTTTCCGTATCTTTTCTGCTTTATTCTCCTTTCTTCTCTATTCCCTAAGCCCTGAATCCTGACTAGTAGCTTCGTTTTCATTCTGCCATTCCCTATGGTAACCCTCAACCCTAAAACTCCCTAAGCCCTAAACCCTAAACCCCTACACCGCTAAACCCTAAACCCCTGCACCCTAAACCATACACCCTAAACCCCTAAACCCTGTCCTTAACAGTAATCCAGCTTCTGGTCTCGGGACTCATTTGCTTGTAGCCTTGGCTGACTGGTTTTGCCTGACCGGGATGATTAGCTGGGAGTAAGTCACCTCTAGTAGGATTCCAAGGCTTAGGGTTTAGGGTTTAGGGTTTAGGGTTTACCAAGCTCATTGGGGATTATATAGCCCCATGATATTGTAGTTTCCATTTCGTTTTCTGTTGCTCATGTCCATCTTCCTTCTCCACCACTACTACTACTACTACTACTACTACTACTACTGGGGATTAAAGAGGGGCTTGCACATGATCCACAAGGTGTTTAGGCGTAGGAGGTGTTTGGGGTCTAGGGGGTGGCCGGAATGCAGAGAGAGTTTCAAACCTTAAGATTCCAGTTTCGGTGTACATAGGGTGGCAGGTTCCATTCTATGTTCTATACTGGCAGTCTACCGTATGGATCTCATAGTCATCCCTACATGAAAAGGATCCCCAACTCCAGTACTGAGCCGTTCCAGCCTGGCTCCACGGTGAAGAAGCGCCATGATACAAGCATGTTCATCATGCATACCTTCGAAGGCGTCAATATTTTTTTCAGGCTGCAGCCCTGCAAGTGTTCCTCCCTCTTTCCAAGGTATAGGGCTCTACAAAACCCAGTATCTTGCTTTGGACCCCGGCCAGGGGAACCTGACATCTGTGCTGCTGCCACGTTTCAATCAGCAGCACAACGCCAGGGCCGTTGTTCCCATCCACTACCAGGCCCGGGAGCTTCCAGTCGACTGCTTGCAAGGGAGCTCCCAAGGCGGGTCCCATCATGATGCCTGATGTCGGATTCTCAACTTCAACTGCTTAGTTTTGTACTGCTTCAAGAGAACTTTACTCCGTACTGTTGTCGGGCGACGCCCACAAAGGGCACTGCAGCGTAAACAGTGCTGCCGCTAACAGCACTGATTGTTCTGAGGATGCTGGGGTATAGGGGTACATTACCCCAATAATGGCGACTCAAATGGAGCATACAATGAACATGACATGGAATCTACTATCCAGGTCTTAGAGGTGCCTGTAATCGCGCAGCTGGACAAGCGCGAAGAGACAGATGTCTGGTGCTCTATCGAGATCTTGCTTCCAATGAAGGTCTGCTCGATGGTCTGGCATCAGCAGGTCTCAAGCAAGGGGAGGAGGACTTGCTGAACAGCGAACACTTGGCATGGCATATCGCCTAGGCCTAAACCTTAAACCGCTCTATCGTCCCAGTCCATCCCAGTTTCCATTTCTTTCTGCATGCTTTTCCATTTGGTTCTCCATCAGAACCCTTTGAATCAAAGCGACTTGGTTGTTAGTTTGCCTGTTCCAGGAGCCATTCAATGGAGCGAAGCTCACCAGCTGCCTCGAATGATGTATTTCACATCATGTACACCCAACATGAATTCATCTCCACTCTGCTGCGGATCTTAAACCCGGGCTTGTCTATGCTCGTCGCTGGGCAATCCACCACCCTCTGTTCCATGCCCTTGGATGCAGCCTGTTCTTTTGTGCCCTGCCTGAAGATAGCCCCCCCCCCCCCCACCCCGGACCTTGGAAAGCCTAATGCAATCCTGATTAACTCCTGAAACCCAGGGAGGGTACCTTGATAGGGGGATGGGATTAATAATCCCGTATGTTTTGCCAATGCTTCATGCGACACCTGCACACCAATGCGCCAAAACAACTTTGTTGACAAATTACACCATGACCCGTGGAAAGGTCTCATACTTTTCATGACGCAAAGTACCTAAAAATCCGTAAGGCTACGGGAAATTTCAGATGTTTTGGTACTTGGTGCAGGCTTTCTTGCACGAACAGTAGCTTTCATGGCATGGCGCCGCCTGCCGGGTCCCGTTGTCAAAGCCTGACGTGAAACGAGCCACCAGGACCACGAACTTAGCAGCTGTTCCGAAGATCGGCGCCAGGACCTGGATTCGCAACACAGCTTGAGATGTCTTCGGTTTAAGGAATGAGCACACAGTGTAACTTGCTGTCAAGCCGAACGGCATAGAAAAGTGCGGCCAACACGCCAAGTCCCATTCCACCCAGTAAGAGGCTTTTAGGATGCTCCGGGTATCTATTGTAGAGCCAGCCGCTTGTCCATCCTGCATGGCTTACCATGTCCAGGGAAAATTGATGGATGACGAGGTTTGTGCAAACAGGTAGAATAGAGATGCCTCACAAAGTCCCAAATGATTCAGTATCCATCTGGCTTGAATGAGTCAAGCCATCTCATGTATCCATAACTTCTTGTGGTCGTGAACTCCGCTTTGTACTCAAACTCTGCTGTCTACAACCTTAGCCAGCCACCGGACTCTGCAAATTTCTAGCCCACACAAGAAGGTTCAATCAGAGCAAAGATGGGTCCTCCCAGGCCCTCGCCAACACTGTAAGCTGCCACAACTGCAGCCAGAAATTCTGTGGAGGCATTCATCTGCCGAAGGTACGGCCAAAGCGTTGGCAACACGATGGAGAAGCCTCGCAAAACTCCATGAAACAAAAGCATGGATGATACAACACAGTGTGCCCTGCTGTGCGGTAGAGCGGCTTGCCCCTCGCCCTTAGAGGTGCTTCTACAGTGTCTAGTCATGTTCAGCAGAGCGGCCTTGTATTTTCCACTAAGATATCTTGATGGATATGCATTTGGTTTTGAGTATCTAGACTTCCTTGCAAAGACAAAGCCGTTAGGGTGGCCCCTTTCAAAACCCCTGGCTGTGCAACAAGAGAATGCTACATCAAGCAAGAACGTTAATCCGCGTCACGGCTTCGAAAGAGGACTCATGGTTTTGAACCCGCCCTCCCAATCTGCTTCATGATTCTGTGCATAATTTGGGGGTGCCCGTTACATACCCCTTGAAGCGCCAGCCTGTTACATACCCCTTGTCGCGCAGCCTTCATGTC